AATTAAGAATCTATGTACAATAGTAGGTCTAGAAGATAAATCAGAATTCTAAGCTTAAAAATCATCTTAAGACAGATGAGTAGAAACTGACTTTACATACACATGCTGCATTCATTAGTCCATGGGTGCCCACCTGTGGCTGGTACATAAGAATGCTGAGAGACAGGCCAGAAGTGAATACTGCCAATGTGATTTTCATGAACTAATTATTACTCTCATGAGGGAGACAGATAGTAAACACACAGGAAAACCAGGCCTATGTACAGAAAATGCCATAAGGAGTTGAAATGAGAGATGAGAACTAGTTACTAAGCACAGAAGCAGCGGGAAGAGCAGGCAAACAGAAGACAAAGCATGTTCATGAACATTACTGGGATGAGCACACACGGGAAAAGCTAGAAATGTTTCAGGGGTCAACAAAATAACACAAGTGTGTTGTAGCGAAACAGATGAAGACAAAGTTAGAGGTGGGCAGGGTTCAGACCATACATTGTGGTTTTGCAGGGCTCAATCAGGAACTGGATTTTGTGGTTATTATAAAGGAATATGTTCCAGTGATTATGTATAATTTCATTCACACTGTACTTTGGAAATGCCTCTGGCTATTGTGGAGGCAGAGAAGAGATGAAATTTGTAGTCCTCTCGGCAAGAGGAGGCGGATTGTGCTTTGTGTCAGTGGGTAAGAAGTAGTCAGAAGATGAAGAATATCTTTGAGATACAGGAGTCAAGACTGAAATAATTTGAATATAAGACATTAAAAAGAGATATACAGGAGAATCCTAGATTTGTCTGAGCAAGTATAGATGATAAGAGTCACATTAAAATATGAGGAAAGCTTGGGCTAGCTGAGAGTAGTAAGAATGCAGTTTGTTTTACCTAGTCTATATCCTGGGAGAGCTGTGAAGTTCCTAGATGCATGTTCAGATATTGACTAAAACTATAAAGCTGGTAATTTCTGGGTTGAGGGATATACATGTGAAGCTCATTCACCTATACTTTCTACTTAATACTATGGCACTGGGTGAATTAGAGAGAGTAGATAAAAAGGGCCACTGGACCACTGGCAAGAAGTAGGCCACCACTTACACTCTAAGCCTCATTTCAGTAGTATTATCCACGGGGCAGCTACCAAAATAGAAAGACTGACAGAATGGGAGATCAAGGAGGTAGAGGCGGACTGTAAAGGAGTGTCAGTTTAAAAATGATGACATTCAGACATATTTATGTGATGTATTACAAGAGGAAGGCTCCTGAGAATAGGAGAAGAGGTAGGATTTAGGACAAATGGGGTGAAAAAAGGACACATCTTCCACTTTAATAAGGGAGCAAACACTATGCCTTCCTGATCATTACCTGAGCCACACTCTTGCCTGAAACCAATCAGTATTAGGTCCTATACCATCTTGCCCAATCATGGAAAATGTCCAGTGTTCTATCCATCTTGTTTTCCTATTTCTAATGAATCATTCTGTACTTCATTTTTCATTGAAAGGAAAAGGACAGAATTTTTAATTCTATTCTCTTCTTTTACTCTGCACAAAAATCTCTCCAAACCCCCCTCCTATGAGCGGCACAGTAACAGAGTGAGCCGTGGTTAAAGCCTGGGCCAGGGAGGCAGCAGGTGCACCTGCACTGTTTTCCTTGCTGTGTCACCACACAAGCTACGCAATCCTTCTGTTTGGGATGGCTGGACTAGAGCTGAACAAGAAAATCTTAACAGGCAGTTGCTTACACTGCTCCATTTAAACTGCTTTTGAACATGCTGCTAAGTAAAACTAATGGTCAAAACTCCAATAGTAAGATTCCTTTCCTGACATTTTGCAGCGAATGACAGTGAACCATGTAGGTGTCCTATCCTTTCCCAGAGCCTTTTAATTTAGGTGTGCCAGGGTTTAGTCTGTGGCCCATCACTTATCTTTCTCTGCTTTAATAATTTCATTCATGCCATGGTTTATAAAACACATCACATGCTACTGACATCTAAGTTTGTGCTTTTAGGCCTGGCTTCTCTCCCAGTCTCTGAAATTACATATCTTAGATAGCTAATAAAATCTCAAACATATCTAAAGTAGATTTTTGTTCTTCCTACTCAATCTGTTGTAATAGTCTTCCTCTAATCAGTTAAAGATTTTTTATCCTCCTAGCTGTCTAGGCTAAAGCCCATGGCCCATACCCAATCTCCATTATGCCTACAGACACTGTCAGTTCTACTTCCAGAACAATCCAGAACCTGACCACTACTAGCAGGTGAACTACCACCAGTCAAGCTACCTTGCACTGTCATCAAGACCACATGGCCTCCTATGCTCCCCTTACTCCCAGGACTGAACACAGTTCTCAGAATGACTGTTTCAAAGCTGAAGTTAGACTGAGTCCTTCCTCTGCTTGCAGCTTCCCAATGATGATCCCTGACTTCATTTCCTACCTGTTTCAGTCGAGAAACTGTAGTTCCTTGCTATTTTTTAATTTTTATTTTTTGCAAAACCAGGAACACTCCTGACTTACAGATGTCACACTGATTTTATGGTCTGCTTAATCATTCTTTCTTAAGATATTAGCATGACTAACTACCCAATCTCTTTCAAGCTTTGCCCAGATGTTACCTCTCAGTAAGGTTGGATTCTAAGTCATTTGTGTTTTTTTTTATCTTCCCCACCCTATTCGACATTTCCAGATCCTAACATGACATATCCTTTACTTACATCTGTTGCATAATAACTGTTGCTAGACCAACCTGCTTACAAGTTGCATGAGGACATCTCAAATGCTAAAATTATACATGGCACATAGAAAGTGCTCAGCAGAAGTCTACTGAAAGAAGTGTGTGGAGAGTGATGAACACCAACTGCTTACGTAGATAACAGAAAGAAAGATAAAAACTTCTAACTCTTTGAGGAAAGACTGTCACTGGGAAGGAGGATACAAAGGTTCAGGTAGTCTCTTGAAGGAGAAAAATCTATTTAATGGGAAGCAATGGCCTTAATGGACTTAGGCTTTTAAATCAGAGACAAGCCCTATCTATGTTTTAGAAAAATGCGCCGGGTGGTGGTGGCGCACGCCTTTAATCCCAGCACTCGGGAGGCAGAGCCAGGCGGATCTCTGTGAGTTCGAGGCCAGCCTGGACTACCAAGTGAGTTCCAGGAAAGGCGCAAAGCTACACAGAGAAACCCTGTCTCGAAAAACCCAAAAAAAAAAAAAAAAAAAAAAAAAAAAAAAAAAAAAGAAAAGAAAAATGCTGGTATAACAAGAAGTCAGTGTTTAGGGCTGGTAAAATGGCTTTAACTTAGTAAAAGTACTTGGTAAGCTGAAGAACTTGAGTTTGATCCCTAGAACTCCCATTTCTTAAAAAAGTTAGATGCTGTGTGCATAGGTCAGTTAGCCTAGAAAGTATGCGAACCAGCAGAAAAGCAAGTAAGATCGCCTCAACGAAATGGAAATGGAAGGCAAGAATTGACTTCTGGAAGTTGTCCTTTGACCTCCAAATGCACAACATAGTATGTGGACACCTGTACTTTCACATACACTAAATTTAACTGTACTCTAAATGGCATTTGGAAGTATTTTGGAACAATTGTGCATTATGGTTCTACTACTTTACTATATTGTTAAGGTTTTTTTTTTTTTTTTTTTTTTAAGAGAACAAAGGCTTATCTTGATCATCCATTTGATGAGATTTAGAATTACCATGGAAATACAACTCTCAGTGCATCTGTATGGGTACTTCCAAAAAGGCTTAAGACTTATGTGAAGAAAAGAGACCCACCATGAATAAGGGCAGCAACATCCCGTGGGATCAAGACTGAATGAGGACAAAGTAAGCTAAGAATCAGCACTCATCTTCCAGTATTCCCTAACTGTGGTTGCAGTATGACCAGCCATGTCCTTTTTCTGCTACTTTGAATTTCCCACTCTACTAACAAAACTGTGAGCCCAAACAAATCCTTCCTTACCTTGGCTGCTTCTGTTTGGTGTTTGACACAGCAATGAGAAAAGCAATTAAAAACAGAACCTATCTCTTTCCCACTTAAAATTAAAGGTATCAAAGCTCTCAAAGCTGCAGCTTATGCAACAATCTGTATTTCTGATTCTCACATGCCAAGTTCATTTACTACTCCTTTTCTCAAGCTTTACGACAGCAGTTCCAAACGCCTCACAATCCTCAGAAATGTCAGTATATCTCCTACTTATTTCTACATATGCAACTCTCCATGACTGCTTTCTAGTCCAACTTTAAAATAATCAGTCCTTCAGCCTACTGTCTTCCTTTATTCTTCAGGCACAAAGCATACCATTTTTGTTCATATAACTTTAAATCATCTTTTTCTTGTGCTTCATAGTAGCTTTCTATGTATGTTGCTAGATGGGAATGGATTATGTCTTATATGATTAGACTCTTCAGTGTGTAGCATAATGCCTGACCTTCTTTAGGTGCTCAGTAATACTTACTAAATGAGTACTTAGTGTGTGCTTAGTAAATGTATGTGTATGTCTTCAAACATTCAAGGTCTCTAACATCCATGAGGTAATACAACTAGGAAGTTGTGTTACAGATACCCATATAATCTATCATTTGAATAAAGGAAGTACTTCTCACATAATAATCACTATTACGTTTGGTTCAGGTACTGTACTAAATCTAATTATCTTTTATTTACACTGACTTACTGTATGTGTGCACGTGCATTCAAGTGCCAGGGAGCCCATGCAGGTATGTGACAAAGTGGAAATTTCACATCTGACTTCATGTGAGGGGTTAGACTATGTATAAGGTGAAACATAAATCAATTTCACGGTTAGACTATGACCTTTTCCTCAAGGTATCTCATTAAAGATATGTATATACTCTAGAATCTGAAGGCAAAACAAAACAAACTCTAATCTAAATCATTTCAGGTGAGGGAGATAGAACTTGTACTTAAAAACAAACAGGCCATGATGAACATAAATAAAGAATTTAAGTGCTGAGTTAGTAAGTGGTTGATGCTAATTTTAGTCCTTACTTTGTCTGTCCGATCCGGTGCACCCTCCCAATGGCCTGAAGCTCATGGGCAGGGTTCAGTATAGGCTCCACCAAGAGGACGTGAGTGGCTTCGATGATAGTTAGTCCATTAGAGCCCGTGTGCAGGGGCAGCAGCAAAATATTGACTTGAGGATCATGTTTAAAAGCTGAAAGATTCTCCTAAAAAAGAAAGATACATTTTAATATTAGCTGGATTGATTAAAATAAGAGCAGTTTGTTACAGTTCACTTTGAATATGGTAGTGAAAATTAAATGCTAATCCACAAATTTTAGAAACTAGAATGTTGTTTTCCTTGATTTTGAAGAAGAGAATCATACAAACACTTTTGCTTTTATAGCATATAGTAAAAATCATATCATAAAAACTGAACTATATGAATGTAGAGGAAAATGAGAGGAAGGAAAAATATGTCAGAGTTAATGTGGGTAAGACAGGAATCTACTACATTTAGTTGTTCTCATGTGCAGTGTGTCTCAGATTATGAGGGTGTGACTGTAGGTGGAAGTTTCTCTCCTACCTGCCTGTTCCCAGATCCCCAGCAGCCACTTTTCACGTAATTGACTCCGAGGCTTAATATTACTAATAAGTGCTCGGCCGGTGGCTCAGGCTTATTACCAACTAGCTCTTACACTTACATTAACCCATAATTCTTATTTATGTTTAGCCACATGGCTTGGTACCTTCTCTCAACACGGCTTTCTCATCTTGCTTCCTCTGCGTGTGGCTGGTGACTCCCCTGACTCCACCTCCTTTCCAGCATTCTCAGTTTGGCTTTCCCACCTAACTTCCTGCCCAGCTACAGGCCAATCAGTGTTTTATTAAACCAGTTCAAGTGACAAACCTTTACAGTGCACAAGAGGATTATTCCACGGTACTGAATGTGATATAAAGGAAAATCAACCATATGCACTTTTTCCTGATTATATATATATATGTGTGTGTGTGTGCGTGTGTGCGTGTGTGCGTGTGTGTAGAATACAATCCCAGGATACAGGGACCCCTTCAAAACAGATACTGCAAGGCTATTTTTTCTAGATAAGGAAAAGGATCTCAAGTCAGAAACATTTTTTTTTTAAAGACTTTCTTTTTAGGTGTAATTGAATAGATCAAAAATACCTACATTTTTCTACTTTGCTTTAAAATGTTAATTTCATAGATAATGAAGAACTCAAACCCTCCTTCAGGGTACAGAACAGAAGTTAAACCAAGTCAGCTAGTGAACAGCAGTTTCAGTTAGCAACTGATCTGTTAAAAACACAAGGAAAACTTGACATACCTGGAATGTCTTAATGCGACTGATTTGTGTAAATTCCATGTTGTTGTCAGTGAGAGCTTTTGAAATAATATCTAATACATCTTGCCACTAGAACATAAAAGTGAGAAAAATAGTGTTTACACACAGCTTTTGACCAAAGAGGATTTGAGAAGGGAAGAAATAATAACTAAATCACACTAACAGTTAAATGAACAAAATCAAATCCAAACCCTCAGATAGAGTACCTACAACACTAGATAGCTCTGGTGGGAAACACCATTTTTCCCTATTAAATACTGGCTGAAAGGTAGCATAATAAAATATAAGCATCACTGAAAATATTTAAAACCCATAATGCAAAACAATGGCATATTTAATATAGTTTCTTATCTTTCTAAATGCAAAACTAGGGTTTTTACTATATTTATATTATAAATAATACTTTGTAGTTCATTAACTTTTCCCTTAATAGTCAAATTCATTTGTGAATGAGTCTTTCAAGGTTATAGATTCCAATTTTTAAAGTACTGAAATAAAATCTCTTATTGAAATCAATAAAAAATGTTACAGGAACTGCCTTTATAAAGTATCATCGCATTCCTCTAAACATAAATATAAGGACATAGGAAAAAAAAAGCCGAAAGCATCTCAAATCTTAACTATATTTCAGCAAGCTTTTAAAAATAGTTCTCAGATAAATACTAAGTAGAGGCAGAAAACCAGCTGGACTGAAGCAGAAAGTCTTGATTATACCGTTGAGAAAACGAGTGCTTTGGCCCCTGGATCTCTAAGCTGTATTTTCATCAGAGTTCTGACCACAGCTTCCACTTTTGTAGAATGGCTACCCTTTGAACACAAAGGGGAAAATGCATTAATATCAAATAAAACCTGGTTAAGAATGGAAACAAATCAGTATAAAACACTTCATTCAAATATATATAACAGAGACACTTAACAAATATTTATGTGCTTAGTCTTTTCATTTTGTATTTGCTGAGAATTTTCTTTAGTCTCTAATTGCACAACTGAATGAGTTTATATTCAAGATGTGTAAGAGACAGCTCAGTGGGTAAGCATCTTTGGTATGAGCCTGATGATCTGAATTTGATTCCCAGAGCTCACATGGTAGAGAAAGCCAACGTTTACATGTCCTCTGACTGCACACAATATGCCATGTCATTCACATGCTCCCTGTCCTCCAAATGTAAGAAAAAGCATTTCCTAAAAGAATTTACAGAGAGTTAATTGAACAGAAAGGCATACTAGAAAGTCATAAGGTAATGATACTAAACATATTTTACTTGGATTTTTTAGTTATTAAATTTTGTTACAGAAAAGAAACAGAATATGTATTCAATAACCTTCCTCATTACTCTCATTTCTTTCATATAGAAATGCAAGAATACAAAGAGCCAAAACTCAAGGCACTTTGCAAAATGATGTATTCAACCAATGAATAAGACTTCTTGTAACGGCATGGCCATGGACAATGACAGACACACAAATGATGTCATCTAACACATAGGTAGACTCACTTTACAAGAGTGGTTTTTTTTTTCCATCTTTCAGAACTATTCTATCAAAGGAATATGGAAATGGAAAAGTGGTTTAAAACCTGAATAAACAAATGATGAACCTGTAATCAGTGTAGTAAATAAACAATCAGTAACTGGTTTTTTCAGACCTTAAATATGAACATCATAATGCCCTAAATTAACGTGTGGGGAAGGGGCCTGACAAACCAAAATGCAACAGTATTTCCACAGCAGCATTAGTCCTCTCCCCTCGATGCTCTCAATTCATTTATTTGCACATGAAAGGATAGAAAGGGAACCAAATAAACAAAGAAGTTACCCTAATTTAATGTCAAGACAAGATTATGAAAAAACTTTAAAAATCTTCCCACTAAAATAAGGAACTTATATTTACTTCTTTAGATATATAGACTCTCAATTATACATACATACAAGGTTAAAAAATGTAAGAGAACCATCCTATCTCAGTCTACTGATTTAAAAAAAGAGAAATAAAAACAGAAATGAACACAGAGTGATAATTTGAGCCTTTAGATAGAACCACTCCTATTCCCTGCAATGTGCTACTTCTGAAACCATTTCACTTGATATGGTTAGTCCCTGCTGCCAAGCCCGATGACCTGAGTTCTATCCTTCGAGCCTCCATGGTAGAAGGAGAGAACCAAACCCTACAAGTGTCCTCTTAACCTCCACATGCACATTCATGTCAACACACACAAGAAATATATTCCAGTGAAGTACAGGATAAACATGAGCCCTTCAATCTACTGAGCTGTTTCTTACTAAAAGTTCAAGAGAAAACAGAATCCTTTATAAGTAACATTCCAAATAGGGTGCTAACTCCAGAAGGAAAGATCAGCACATTTTCCTGGTATCAAATTTTGGTGGCTCTCAAAACAAAACATAGGGCTCACTTATAAATTATCATGGTACTCTAATGGGTACATGCTTTCCATTGTCTTAGTCAACACAACTAGGACTGGAATCTTTGGCTCTAGAGCAACTGCTGCTTTCACAGTACTGCTGGGGACTAAACCAAGGGCATGTGCTTGCTAACTGCACTCTACTTATAAGCCTCCCTGCTAAGCCCTTTGCTTCAGACTATAAGATGCTATGTTAAAAATTCATTGCCTCTGTGAACCTATCTTGATAAAAAGCCATTATTTGTTAAGTGAAAAGAAAATGCTCTAGACAACAAAGAATTACTGAAGTGAAAAAGTAGAAACACATGATCTCTGCAAGTGTGTATGCAAGTCTCTCAGTCAGACTCAGGCTCACTGTTTTAAAGTGAGTGTTGCCAGCCAGCTTGCTCAGGGGATTCCTTTCTCTACCTTCTAAAGCTGGAATTAGAGACAAGCTGCCATACCCACCTGACATATATGTATGTTCTGGGGTTCTAGCCATGGTCCTCATGTGATATGCACTGAACCACTGAGTCATGTCCCCAGGACTGGATACCATATTTTCTTAATCCAGTCATGAGTTTGTGGATACTTGGGCTAATTCTATGTCTTGACTACTGTGAATGAATAATGAATGCTTCAAGGAACTGGGACAAGAGATAAAAATTTTAACACTGCTCATAGCTATTGTTTCTACTGTTTTCCCACCCAAGAGATGAAGTCAGCAGGCAATTACTAAAATAGTTAATAAAGAAATGAACTCAAACCTTTCTCTTGAGTACAATATAGAATAAACTAGATTTTTGGAAGTCAACACTTAAAAAAATAGTAGAAATATATCAGCAACAAAGGCCAACAAAGGGTATTTCTTATGAAATTTGGCCTAGATATCATGCAGTAGCATAAAGCAAAATCAGAAATGCCAGGTGGATTCTCACTCTAATAGGTGTGACTAATTTATTTTAATCAGATTAAGACAGAGTGGTGATGTGCTCTTGCTGCAAAAATTACAAAATTTAAATTCTGAGTTAAACATTTTCACTGTGCTGAAAGGATGGAAAGAACAGAGTCTCTTGCCATATGTTTAGTGGACTAAAAGAATTATTATAATAAAGCAAACATGGAGTATCTGACTTAGAAATTTGGCTATCCTTGCCCATCTAGAATAAAACTGCTATATTAATGCAATTCTGGGATAATGTGGTCTGTGGAGAAGAGAGTGCAAGGATAGTACAAATCTTTATGCAGGAGACAGACAGACACATCATAGTTGGCTTAACTCTTTCCTTTACATCTGTTCCTATCTGCTGAGATCCCTTATTGAAAGAGAGACAGGAAGTAGGAGATATATAAGATCTCCCTGCTGCAGTAGCAATAGACTACTTGACTTCATTTGAATAAATAAAATTACTCCACCAGAAAAATACCATTGCCTTGTATTTTTAATAACTTGTAATAAAAGTAAATAATGTGGGGGGGTCATAGATAGAAGCAAGGTATATCAATCCATGATGCTAAACAGGGAGCACAATGCCTATTATGTCCCTTTGTACCCAGCCTATTTCTGTTCACAACACCAGTAGACGCAGAGTCAGGGAGAGTGTGTGTGTGTTCTGTTCATTCTTTTTCCTGGGGATTCCAATGGTTCCACTTGCAGAATTATAGGTTAAAGTCCTATAGCACACCAGAGAAAGCCAACCTGGTCTAATTGCTAACAAACAGAAGAAAGGACATTTATGTTAAGACTACCTAAATAAATAAGCCATATTTTCAGAGATTTTATATCTATTATACATTAATGTATATTTTATACATGTGAAAGAAACTAACAGTGTAGTATACATGAAATATATCCAGTCAAGTTCTATAGTAGGGGAAATACTACTCATCACTCAAGAGTAAATACAAAATGAACTCATGGTAAGAAGCATTGGGAACTCTAAACTGGTCATTCATATTTTTCAGCAAAATCTCTTGAAGCTGTCTAACACAGAGAATGAAGGATCTTAATAAGGATTTTTTTTTTTTTTTTTTTTTGGTTTTTCGAGACAGGGTTTCTCTGTGTAGCTTTGCGCCTCTCCTGGAACTCACTTGGTAGCCCAGGCTGGCCTCGAACTCACAGAGATCCGCCTGGCTCTGCCTCCCGAGTGCTGGGATTAAAGGCGTGCGCCACCACCGCCGCCCGGCCTTAATAAGGATTTTAGGGATAAATAAATACCAAGTTGCTTTAGAAAAAAAGGAAGATGATTAGGAAAAAAATAGCTTTGGGTGCTTAGAAAATTCATTGCAAGGGGATGAATAGGAGTAAGACAACAGGGAATTGGGGTTGATTGTGATCAAAATGTGTTATATATTCCTATGAAAAATGTTGTGATGAATCCCATTATACACTTAATACATCTTAATAAAATCTAACCGAACTGGCTGGGTGGTGGTGGCACACGCCTTTAATCCCATCACTCAGGAGACAGAGGCAGGCGGAGCTCTGTGAGTTCAAGGTCAGCCTGGTCTACAGAGCAAGTTCCAGAACCACTAGGCCTACACTGAGAAACCTTGTTTCAAAAAACCAAGAAACAAAATAAACCAAAACTAAAACCAATTAATCAAACAAACAAATAGCTAAAAGAACTTATCTGAAGCGCAAAGCTCAGTGACAGATGATTAGGAAGATACTCTTTGCTGTATAACTTTAATTATTCTACTTGATTCCATGGTTAAAAAAATTACATTATAGCCGGGCGGTGGTGGCGCACGCCTTTAATCCCAGCACTCGGGAGGAAGAGCCAGGCGGATCTCTGTGAGTTCGAGGCCAGCCTGGACTACCAAGTGAGTTCCAGGAAAGGCGCAAAGCTACACAGAGAAACCCTGTCTCGAAAAAAAAAAAAAAAAAAAAATTACATTATAATACTATACATGCTACTGGCTTTTTTTCTTCTTTTGGATATAGGGGTGTTTATAATTGCAAAATAAAGTATGGTTACCATATATATTATGTTATAGTCATACAATAAAAATCAAACATACTAAAGAGGAAGGAGGGAGGAGGTATAGCTGCACTAATTTCTTCATATTTTATAAAGAATGGCCAGGGGATTTTGACCACTGCTAGTACTAAAGAAAAATTTATATGTATTAGAAATCATACAGGCTATCCATAGAACTAAAAGCTGAAACCATTCACAGTAATAGAGTAAAAAGAGAATGGAGGTAAACACCAGTTTTCACTGTGTGATATTTTGAAATTACGTATTTTTCCTTTATTTTATTAATTATTTCTACTAAATATTATAAGAACCATTTTCTATTTCCTATTTTTATCACCTCTAAACTGAGTCTTAAGGGAAGAAGTGGGAGGTCTATAATTCTAGGACTTTTCATGCATTACCCCAGTGATATAATCAGGTGTTCA